CCCCAAAACCCCAAAACCCCAAAACCCCAAGTTTTAAAATTTGTAAAATAGGGGGTTCGAGATTATTTATATTTAAAATAGTAAGATAGATACTTTTAGGATATATCATTTAATATCTAATCATCCTTCAGATTTTGCTTGCTTAAGTATTCTTACTTTCATCCAAAACAGGGCAAGAGTCCTCGAGCAATAATAAGTAACCCAATGGATCAGGGAAATAAGATTATCATAAATTGCCAACTACAAGAATATAGCAAAGGTTCCAGAGTAGAACCATGTCCAAGAAACTTTCCAGCCAAATGTTGCAGTAAACTTAATGATATACCAAGTTATTGCTGCAAATATAGAAATTGTAATAAGGTAAGCTAGAATAAATCTAAGCCTCATTTCTTTCTTAAGTTCCACACTTTAAAACATAACAAAAATATAATTTACAGCATCTGTTCAAGATAAACAGTTGTATAAGAATGGACTAGTCTTTAATCAGACACTTTGAATATTCCTGCGAATATATACATCAAAATAATAGTTCCAAATGGAGCAATAATAGCTATCCAAAGTTCATCTCCTGCTAAATCTCTTGCGCTTTAATCCTATAATATTCATAAAATTATAATCTCTAGCATACAAAATCAGGTATTTCTAGTGGGTCTTTAGTGTTATTATAAATAACTGCACACCAGAACCAGTTAAGTAAAATACACATATAAAGTAGAGTCCATCTTGCATGTCTTGGTGCAAGTATACTTGTGATGTAAAGAATACTAGTTAAATGATTTCCATGAATGAGCAAACTCTTCCAGTGATACCAATACAGCTCTTTCGATTTCTTTTCAATTTTCAAATACCTTTTTTGCTCTTTACTTCTCATTTTCTCTTCCATGTCTTCTTCAGATGAACTAGTTCCATGAAGCTTGACGAATTCTTGAATTTCCTTCTCCTCCTCATATCTTCTCTACATCTGTTGTTCAAATAAATCATGATCAACAACATCGTTGCCTTAATTGTAAATACTACTCTAATCATTATTGAGGTCATCATCCATCCCTTTATCAGTAGAAACACGATCTTCATCCTTAGGATACTTTTAACTTTTTCCAGCGGGCTTTTTCTTACCTTTAACTGGAAGCATTTATGCCTCTTGTACCATATCATCATCTTTATTAAACTTTTTACTGTTGCTAAGAGCCTTTTTCTTTGATTTCAAACTTTCTGATGGCTTCTTCAAGTGAGTAATAGGAGTACTTTCATCGATCATTTTACCTTGATTTTTCTCTTCTTCCCCTACCAAATTATTTCTAATGAAAATGATATTTCCATCATCACCTCTCTTTACAATAAGCTTTTTTTATGTTGGCTTCTAAGTAAATCCTTTCATCTCAAGTTTTCTAATCCTCTCGCGGAGTTTTTCCATTACTGGAGGTTGTAGCTTTTTATCTGCATAGTACATAATTATTTACCCAATAAAGAAAACAACAACACCTGTGATAACTGCAAAATAACCAAAAGAATTTCTCCAATATTACATAGCGAAAAAATCTGAATAAATTCCTTGTTCTACTCCTCTCCCTGTTTAAGGAAAAGTCTACTAATAAACAACAGCGAATGTTGATAAATGCTTGCATCTGCACAGTGATATTTAGGCATTAAGTGGTGCTTCCTCTTCACAACTATAGCAGGGAATATTATCTTTTATTAGCTAAACAGAGCAACTATCATCACTTTCGAACTTATATTTAGTCTCATTCCAAGACATACATCTCATTAACTCATTCTCATATCCTTAAGTTTTTCTATAAGGTTCTTTGATTAGAACATAATCATTCAAGACAACATTAATGTGATTCATTGAAGAGTCATAGAATGATAATTAAGTGACATTCGATTCAACGAAACCACCTGGATCCTCTTCAAAAAGAAGTGGATTTGCACTATATTTTAGAGCTTTGAAGTTCACTTCATGTTTATCTGAGGCTGATCCTTATACTCTTTCAAAAATAGAATCTGGGAATGTCCAATATAAATCTTTTTCTCTTATAAACATAGTTTGATCTTTATAGGCGGAGGCATATTAAGAAAATGCTAATAGATCAAAAGCTTCAGAAGTAAAAGTAAATTTCTTGTTTTGAGGGTTTAATGTTGGAATTAGCTTGTTAATGAATTGATTTAATTGCTTATCAACAATTCTTCCCCACTTCTAATATATATTTTAATCATCATTAGCTGATGCTACATCTTCTTGACTTTCAGCTAGATTTCTCTTTTTACTATTTTATTACATATATCTACTGCTCATACCCCCAATCAGGTATGGTACATCCTCATTTAACAAATTTCTGCCCTTTTATAAAATTCTTCCGTTTTGCTACTAGTATTACTAACTTAAAGTAAAGCCTAGTGCTAGTGCATCTGATTCAGGAAACGCTCTTCTCACAGAAGCAGAATGATGAAGTAGATATATAACTGATGCCATAGACTCAAGATATATTGCTCTTATAGTTGATGACAATGGCGAATGTGCATAGATTGAAGCCTCCCCTATCATTGTTATAATGTCGATAACTAGTTAGAAGTTATCATAAATTGATAGATCTGGGTCCTTGAACATTCCTCTAAATGATGAAGCCACAATTTCTATATCATTTGAGGTTATTTCATACTTTTATGATAAATAAGTATGCAAGCTTGATATCATGCTTTTTTCGATGTTTTATAAGTCTTGAAGCTATGATTCTTTGAACTAACAAAATGTACCAGAAAATCCAAGTTCACATACACATCTTTGATTGCCATACCTTGAGGTACAAATTCCATTATAGTTACAATGATAATCAAGTGTGCAAATACCTGGGGAAGAAGATGTTCTTTTAGGAGAATCCATTGCAACATATAATAAATTAGAAGCATAGATCAAGTTTGACATATTTCCATTAAAATTCAAATTGTTGAGATGCTTAATTAGATCATTTGTGCTAGTTAGATACTTTGGAGTATTCTAGATATTTGAAATTTTTTAACAGTCATAGGCATAACCATTGTTTGAATCAATACACTGGACACATATTTATAAGGTTTTTACTTAATCTACCCCTGAAGTTATACTATTGCTTACAAAAGGAAGTCTATAATAAATTTCAAATGCCTCAGTTTAGTCTGTTAATGTGAAATACTCTCCATTTATTGTCATATAGAGCTTAAATTTCATTGGATCATCTCCATGAAACAAAGTATCCTCCCAGTTTGTTAGTGTCATTTTGAATATTGAATCTATACTAGTTCCATTCCCTAAACCAGGATTTGTTAGTACTGTAATGGTGCTATTGCCAACAGTAGGAGGTTGATTTTGGAAAAATTCATAAATATCATAAGCTATTTCTCCTAGTGAGTTCTGAACTGTCACTTTTACTTTCACTACTTAATCTGAAGCCATATAATTTAAGGCAGTCATTTTCATTTTGATTACAGCTTCTCTGTTTTAGACATCGCCTTGACTTGAAGTAGTAAAAACACTGATCTCATCATAATCTGGAGAAGGCTCAAGTTATTCCCATAAGATGGATAGAATATCTCCACCTCCTTCATTTGATATTGATGCTTTAAGGTATTACTGAACATCCTTTGGAATTTTAGATTTATAACCAAGACTTTGAATCTTAACTTTTAGAAAAGAGGTGTCACTTATTTGGTCGCACTTATAAGAAGTAAAATTATTTTTATGATGTGGAGTAGGGCACTACTCGAGACAAATACCATTTAATACATACTTAATAGGCTCACATGTTAAGCAGCTTGAAATGTAGTTACTATTACAAGTTTAACAATCAGGATTACATTCCATACACTCATTTGTTTAAGGATTAGGGTAATAGCCAAGAGGACACTCTCTCAAGCATTGATAAGTTTTGTATTAGAATCTTTACATAATAACCTCTTCACTTTTGTAATAAGGATAACTTTAGGGGCAAGTAACGAAGCATTATCCAAGAAGAAGTTTCTGATTCTAATCTTGACATATTAGACAACTTGCAAAAGTGGTGCCATTGCAGAACATGCATGAATCATGGCATCCTATCTAACCCAATGAAACACCTTTTTACCATTCACTCCTTACATGGGTGAAAACTCCATACTAATCTTGAATTCCTCTATTCAATTAAATATCAGCCATCAATGTTCCAGAATTACATTATCTGAGTTCAAGATTTTAAATTGTAAAGCTAGTTTAAGTAACATCAGTTATTTATACAGTAGCTACAGGAGGATTTCTAATACAATATGAGCTGGCTGTATTAATGACTGACAAGACTAGATTGATAGATTTTGTTGTAAATAAAGCTGTTGCTATTGAACTTCCAGAAAATCTAGCTTTAATTTATTTACTCCTTAGATCCAGTCCAGTCATAGTTAATTTTCTTCCATTAATCAATTATGTAGATGGATTAATCGTAAATGATCTGCAAAAGAAGAGATGATCATAAGCTGTAGTTTGCCCTGGCTCTAGTGTCTTATCATTAAACAAATAGTATTTGGTAGTTGATGATGCTGAAGTCTTATAAGCAAATGATTCTTTATAAAAGGACAAATAATAGATTTCGCCTCCCTTCATCTTGTTAGCTTATTGGGAGAGAATGATGCTGCAGGAACCAGCACCACTACATATTAAATCACCTTACTAGAATGGATTTGGTGTTAACATATCGTTTAGAGCTGTATTTGACCAGAGTATGTCATTAGTTCTGGTAATAGATCCATCTGGTCTTATGGCTCCTCTGAAAATTATGATTTTTCCTGGTGAACCATTAGACTAGAGAGATGGATATACTGCTTAGCTCTTAAATGTAAATCTAACTGTATTATCTGTCTCATAGAGCTCAGTTGAACCGTATTAAGGGTTAAAACTTATTGGTTCTGGACATCTTCCATTCAATGTTGGAAGAGTATATTCTTTTATTTATGCTTAATATGAAAATCCTGAAGTCTTCTTGATTCTTGACCAAGATTAAGGAGCATCTTTTGCTGCTGATAAGTAGCACAAATGAAGTTCATCATTAGTATAATTTGTGATTCCAGATATTCCTGATGTGTAACCAAACCACATACTTGGCCAGTTAAAATAATTTCTTGAATATTAGATTCCTAAGAAATTTGTAGGATTGCAATCAGTAATAATTGTTCCTCTCCAAGAAAATGCTATTTTGTCTCCATCTGCGAAAGTACCAACCAAGTCAAACCTCACTAGATCTTCATTCATATTGAAGACAGTAGGAGTAGATGTAGTCAGCATTGGAACTCCTATAATTCTATACTTCAGGTCATATATTGATTGATAGTATGGCTCAGTGCTCTCTTATAGAAAAGATGGCTACCAACAGAAGAAGAAATCTCCAGCTTATGAAAAGCTCTTAATAGCATGTTAACCATATGTTGGTTTATTAGATCTGACCATTTCATAATCATCGAAACTAGGAGCAGAACAATCTAAAGAAAACTTAATAACATCTCCATATCCTTAATCACCCTCAAGTGAATTCCAAGTTCTTGTGACTCCATCAGACATAAAAGCATCACCATTAGACGGATCAACAGTTTTAGGTTTGCTTACAACATAGGTCTAGTATACATTAAAGGCAACTCTCTATGCTGCGATATAGTAGCAAATTTAGTAATGAACTCCCTCAAGGAGATTGACTGGACTAAAATTGGAATCTACTATAAGCCAATCATTAACAAATCCAGTGGAGTAATTCATAAATGCTTGAATGTTTTAAGGAATACATTGAGTATTATTTGGGATAAACCACACTTAATCTCCTTATGCTTTTGTTAAAGTTGATGAATCCTTAAAGTTAAAAGTTGGCTTTGATGTCAACCTCCTAGCCTCAATCACCATAGGATGAGTGGTTTTGTAATCAGGAGTTCTACAAACTGCTACATCATGAAATATACATAAACTGAGAGCTATAGACTAATCATTGACATAAGTTGGATAGTCAGGATTGGTTTGCTTGTAGTAACTAACTTCATTTTAGTTAATGCTATAATCTCTAATTCTATAAAACGTTTCATTAGCATTAAAATTTTCTGTAAACTTCCAATAGGCAACAAGATTAGGATCATCAAAAGAGTAATATCTATACATTCTTAGAACTTCATCTTGAATTTATGGGAATCCATGATATTTGTTAAACATCTTCAACTCTTTCAAGTAGCCAGTAAAACTTTACGGCTGCTAATCTGAATAAGCACCAATGTAAATTATATTTTAGATATTTGGATATTTTACAAAGGTTTTTGTGTTATCGAATCCAGCACTTTGAACCTGACCCATATTAGTATTTGAAATTGCTAGTTATTATTCAAATTTTAGAACATTGTTGATATTTGCAGTCTTCTAAGCAACGACTACATAATTCCACGTATTTAATGAAACTCTTTATTTTGCATCATTAGTATAAACAGGCTCTACAAAAGTGTTAGATCCTGACTTAAAGCTAAAGAATACTCTCTAAGTTGAACTTTAAGCTTTGACAAAAACTCTTCCATAGGCATTAATAAAGTATGAATCAGTATTTAGGGCGATTGGCCTGACCCAAAATCCTATAGTATATTATTGCGGCATTTCTGTTAAATCTGGCTATCCTTAGACTGCTAATCCTTTTCCAGACGTTGAAAATCTTAGATGTTAAGAGGATTGATAGCAATCAGTTTAGGAAGATGAATCATATTAAGATCTTTCTTATGCTTGGGCTGCTTAATCATATTGAATAAATGGATATGAGTTTGATGGGCATTAGGGATAGCATAGTTCATTACTTTTCCCCGCTAAATTCAATGTACATCTTTAAACACAAAATCCATTTGAATCAATCAGACCTACAGGGCAAACACATTTTCCTAATTAAGGTGCTCTATTATAAATAGGGCCACATTTATTTTCAGTGCAGCAAGTTGAGCAAGCGTCTTTTGTAGGGCCAGTACAAGTTTTGCAAGTATAATGGCATTGCTAGCAATACTTGAGATCATTTCCAAAGCTGTCAAAAACAGGATAAGAAAAATCAGGGCACCCACCTTCGTAACAAAGATTTTCAAACATATAAAATCCTATTTTACACTTGATACAAGTACCAATGTTAAACGGACTGCATTTAGAGCAAGTTGATCCACAACCAATACTTTGAGAGAAGACTTGATTTGAATCATTATAATAAGTAATCATAAAACCTCCTTTTATATCTATTGGATCATTAGTTCTTGGTGCTACAAACACAAAGCTTTAGGTCGTCTCAATAGTTCTTGGGACTAATATTTTCTAAGGATATGGTGATGGTAAATTGTTGAAACTAGCTGATTCTATATCAATTATTTGATCATTGAAATCCATCCAAATTAGTGCTAGATTAGCTTAACTGTTTTATGTTCCCCACATCTTATCATTATCTTTATGCGGCATGAATTAATCATCTATCAATGCCAAAATGTATAATCCAGTAAAGGTAATCTTTAAATCGAAAATTCGATCATCCTTTGGTGATCCATAAATGATTTAAGATTCAATATAGCCGTTTGAGGCTCTAAGTCTGTAGTAATAAATATCAGTCTAACTGGTATTTGTCGAATATTTGGTGGAGTAAGAATTTAAAAAGACGAATAAACTATTCCCAAAATTAGCCATTCTACCAAAAGAATCTGTATAGTTTTCATTTCCTATCACTGTAGTCCATTCTCTCACTCCATGAGTCCAACTATAGCCATGAATAGCAACATTAGCGTTGTCCTCTCCTGGCAAGTTACCTGGCTAGTAAACTGTTCTTCCAAAGTACTTTTGCTTATTGATTTCAACTGCCAAATAAATAATTTAATTGTCAAGATCAACTTTGACTCCTCTTACAGACTCCATTATTTGTTAATTTTCAGATAAAACGAAATACTCAGTAAGATTATATTTGGTGCTGAATTTTGCTAGATAGTAGCTACTAATCTTATTAGTATGAAAATATGTGCCAGCTATGCCTATCACATAAGTGCTTTAACCTTTGAAATCTCCTGAGTATTAGCAGTCAACGTAGATAGCTCCAACAAGTTTTTTATAAACATCATCTTTATCAATCTTTTTGAAATCCTTAACATATTGATACCCTGAAGTAGTGTCATTAAATATCCTCATAACTCTAATCTCATTGTAGTTGATATTTAGGCCAATCACATAGTCAAGAGCTCCTTGATGCTGGCAAAGACCATATATCTCATATCCATAAAGTTGAATCTTATCATAAATCTAAAAATAACAAAATTTTAGTGATGTTTGTAATTACAGGCTCTGGGATCCCAGTATTATGAGGAATTTTAACATATTGATAAGTACTGACACTTCTTTGAGCTATTGAAAATTTGATTGATAATTTGATTACAAACTTTAGAGAAATGATAAGTGTTTGTACCATCTGCTTGAATAGTGTCTCCTTAATCTGCATAACTCACATCAAAGTAAGCAAATGAATCTGAATTTTCAAAGACATAGTTCTTTATAGCAGCTCTCTAGTTTGATCCAATTCTGATTAATCCTTAAGCCCTTGGCAGATATGAAAGTATCAAAACTAGATTAAGTGCAATTAACAATGATTTTAGACTCTGCCGTTGATATAGTTTTTAATACAGCGGCCGATCTTAGAAAAAGCTCGGGTTCATAATTACCCAATTTTTATAATTATTAAATTATATTAAAAGTAGAGTGATGATTAATGCATTCTTGGTAAAAAAGAAATTGCAAGAACAATTAAATACGATCGTTGATAAGGAAAAGATAGCAAAGGTATTTGTATTGCTTGTAATTTTATAGATAAAAATTAAACAAGCAAAGACAAATAATATGGCTTAAAATGCAGATGGTAGAAGATAATAGTGGCTTTAAAAAGTACAATCAGAGGATAATTTCTAAAAACGTAAGAATAAAATATTTTCCACATTAACAATCGAAATTCCTAAATCTGAATTAAAATTTCAATGTAGATTATTTTATCGGAAGTTAATAGTTTGATGATAAATTACATTAATTCAGAGCAGAGAACTAATCTTAGTTCTTTGGGAAGAGAAATGTATTATCATATTCATATCAAACTTCGAAAGAGAGGGCGAATAAAATAGCGATTGATTTTAGATGAAATACCTTGGAAAATAACAAATATAGTGATATTGATCCAAACCGAAATTATACAGAAAAATGGCTTCGTGATAGAGCTAAGTCATCTGAGAATAGTATTACAATGGTATACAATACCAAAAATTAGCAAGATAGGGTTAAAATTGAAATGGGCTGTCAAAATAAAAAAAGTTTTGAGCCACTAAATACTGAAACATTATATGATAGTAAATTCAAGAAACTGGCATTAAGCAATGATAGCAACAAAAGACCTTTTGTAACAATGAGTAGTAGCAAGGATAAAGCATGGAATATTGTTCCATTAAAAGATGGGATAACTGATTATGATCCTTACAATGAAAAATTCAAGGCAGATGAAGATTGCTTTAGAAAAAGAAATTCACTTAAAGAGGTAGGAAATGTCGAATTTGATTCTAATGCAAGGCCAGACTTGATATGGTCTAATCGCCTCTAGACATCAAATTCTCTCAGGACTTATCATTAAATCAAAGGGTAAATTATCACCATTGAGGGCAACTATGAAAGTGAGATATAAACACCAAGAAATAATTTTGAAACTGTCAAGTCACTTAAGAGCAGTAAAACTACTTAAAATACGAGATTTTTAAAAAGAATACAGCTGTAATAGGGGTCTGAAAATAGCTCAAACGCTAATAGAAGCAGAATAGAATATTCTGATCAATCATAGTCTTTAAATATAATTGGTCCAGTGCCAACAAAATTTAAAATTTCAAGCGGTGATGTTTCAAAAGTAGAAGAAATTATGAATCTCAAGAAGGAGTTTACTCAAAAAGCTTCTTTATTTTATGTCCCTGATTAGTAAATACAGTCAACTTAAAATATAAAATATAAGGGATCAGCTGAAATTTCTGACTCCTATATCATGAGTAAACTTCAGCACCCACAGTAGAAATCTTATTATAAAAGTGCTGAGACAAATCTCAAAAAATCATAGATTAAAATCTTAAATTAAACCTAAGATAGAAATCAAGGAGAACAGTAGCTTGTCTATAAGGAACTTTCAGTAAGACAGGGCTAGAATACCAACTCAGGGTTTTAAAGAAATAATAGCTAGATGTCTGAAATTATCACCACAATAGACATTGGTTAATTACTCCTAAATGAAAAGCTTAGAGATGGTTCTAAGGATAATAGTCCTTTGATTTCTTCAAAAAGATAACTTTCTATTAACTCTGGAGAAGATCAGGATATCTCACAACAGATGTAGCTACTCTCCCCAAATTCAGGAATTACTCTACCTACTAGCTTAGACTTCTATACTTCTGAAACTTCTCCTTCAGTCTAAGGTTTTATGAGTTAATAAGGCAAAATAAAGAATGGAACTATCAGCATTTAGGAAGAGTCAGAAGAAACTGAAGAAGATTCACCTAAAAGAAAAAAATTAGAATAAACTTAGCTTATTAAAATTCAGAACCAAGCTAGAAAAAGAAAAGACTCCATAAGCAGTAGTGTATCTCTTCTAGCTTAAAAAACTAATTACTATAATTAAATGAAAGCTAAAGCCGAAATAGAAAAGAAGAAAAGAGAATTCTATGCTTTAAACCCAATTATTCATAAAGATCTTAGATCATAACACCTTAATGATATGATGAGTGATTTTTTCAGTTCAGACTCATAATAATAACATGAAGCAGCAGAATAAAAAGATTCATAGAGAAGAAGAAGTTTATCAAAACGAAAACTATGATTGATTTTCACTAATATGCATATTTTGAATTATACTTTTACCTATATCTGATGTTTTAGTTTGCTTGGGGTTTTGGGGTTTTGGGGTTTTGGGG